GCTCGATGTCATTAAAGTCAAGAATGTCTTCAATGTGTATGACTTTGGAGTTTGCTTTTGAGATCATTCCGTGGTCTGAGACGATCACTACATTCAATTTGTGCTCCAGTTTGTAGGCCTCGATCCAAATATACAAGTCTTCAATGATGTGATCGATGTCTCGAATGGCTTTCTTGGTTTTGCCCGACCGGGGACCGTATGCGTGCCCTACCAGTCCGTACACATCACACAAAGTATTTTACAAGTTTTAACCAAAACTATTTCAGTTCTATTTATATTCATTTAATTCTATTAATTACAAGAAATAGTTTAATTTTCATCTCATGAAAAATTATTCAAATTTTTGACAATATTCTAGATTTTTAAAAATAAATTCAACAGTCAAATGATACACTGTATGAGGGAATATATACATGTAGTGTAATATTCAAGAATTTATACATAATTAAGGGTTTTTGTAAATAAACAAATGAGAAGTAAGTAATTGAGTGGAATTGACAGAACTAGCTATTAGTCACCGATTTCTGTTACTCCCAAAGATTGATGCAATAAATAAATGATCGGATGTCAGGACCCGCAGTATATACACATGTTTTCTATTACTATCAACTCATAAATCATATAAATTTTCTTAACTTCTTAGCGTGAAAATCATTTTAAACCTTAAGATATTTTTGAAATACAGTCAGAAAACTGAGAAACTATTGATATTAAGTTACATTCTGTATTATTATATTCTTTCATATATTTCACAAATAAAATTTTTATGGATACTACAGTATAAGAATTAATTGAAATTTATATAATATCTATGTGAAGTGCTTCTATAATTTAAAATTATGACAAGAATAATTATCCACACTTAATAATAAAACTACTATTTATAAAATTAAGTTAAAAATACATGTGTCACATACCTGTATGATCCACTAACTCATAATAGAGTAAAGCGAGTCTATATTTATCATTAGAAAAGTCATCCAAAATATTTTTAATATAAACTCGCGTTTCATTGTTAGCATCGTCTGAATTATACAGAGCTTTGTATTTGTGACAAATGAAGGGCTTTATGCCCGCAATCCTCACTTGGCACCCGTCCCACAAATACATGGCTGTCTTGATTCCCAGTTTCTCAGCTGATATCCAAATGGGTTCGCTTTGGTTCCACCAGTGATTGTGTGATGCGTTTGGATGCGGACTCATGAGGAAGAGGTCGTCTCTGGACTCGTCGTACATATAGTTCTGAATCATGCCATGACTCTCACCATAGAGTCCGGTCACTATTGAGTACCAATTGGGGTAAGAATTTGCCGGAAATATTGGTTTCACATATTTGGCGGAAACGCCGTT